TACAGATGGCAGTAGTGTGGAGAGCACTGCCTGGTGGTGGAGTTCAGAACTGCAGGTGCAGTGGCCCACCTTTCACATCGCTGTGGACAGAGCCAGAAACCATTCAGGATCATTTCAGGCAAGACAAACAAGAACTCACACTCTGCGAATTAAGTTGTTTTATTGTGCTGCAGAATGAGTGTCATACCTCTCATCTTCTGCCTCTCACTAGGTTGGGATATCCACTAATGAACACTTTCAGGCTTGCCCCAGCAGCCCCAACTCTACTCTCTTCCTAGAAGTCAGCTACATGGAGTACAACCAGATTGGGCGAAACAGCATCGACAAGGTCCGAGCCCGCACACAACGCTCAATCAAACCCCTTCGTTCTCAGAGTGTTGAGCTGTCCTGTGCCTTCCCATTCACAGAAAGAGACTTCATACGAGTAGCTCTACGGTCCCCTCACACAGAACGCGAAGTGAAGAGCTCTGGACCTCTCTACCTGTCCCGTATCTTCTCCTATAAACTGCTGGTGGAAAATGCTAATGCTTATAAGAGTGGTTGTGAAGGGACTATAACTGTTAGACTAATAACTCCACCGTGTGCTCACATGAATGGGAAAGTATTGCTGTATAAGGATGCGGGTGTTGGAAGAGGATTTGGTCAAGAGGAGCCCTCCTCTCCTCCGCTGACCTTTAACTGGCTGACTCAGGGAGAGAACGAGACAGAATTCAACTGTTCGGTGTTTTACCCTGGAAGGAATAAGTACTGCTTCCGTTTTGTCTTCAACTTCAGTCACTCTCCTAGTCCAGCACAGACCTGTTTGGTGGTTCACAGGACTACTGGTGAGATTTCAGAAACTGACACATTCACATTTGGAATCCCAGAATTACAGTCTACATGTCTTGTCATTTAGCATTTCAATAAGACCTGAAATTGAGGGATGGAAAGAAGGTTCATCCAGATTATCCTAGACTGATAAAATCTAATGGTGGGAGACAAAAAAATATTAGGTTCATAGGTCTATGTTTAAAATCATATCAGTCACTTTTATTGTGTTTTACAACATAAAATCAGACATTAAGACAAAAATAAGGACTATATCACTACTTTCTATTTTAGGGGCATGTGAGACCATCTTTTTTCTAAATTGTACTTAATTATCAACCTCAGTTATTCAGCTATTTTATATACAGATACACAAGTGAGTTTTTCTTAAGGAAGTATACGCTTTAACACCGTTACATATACTGTATACAGTATATAAATGAACATATTTATCTGCAATTTAACCCTTTGGTCCTCTGTGCCTCGGTAGAGTCGTGGGGGCCCTGGCAGCCATGGAGTGTATGCAGTGTAAGCTGTGGAGAGGGAGTGAGGGAACGAGTGCGTGAGTGTTTGCTGCCCTCAGGTGTGTTAGGGCTGCAGTGCACTGGAATGGTGAAGGAACAGTCTCTCTGCTCACTGGAGGACTGTGTCGGTCAGTCACTTCACCCCTTATCTCCTTTGTTTTCTTAATCTTTCTCTCTGTCCCTTAACGTTCTCAGGAATGTACCTCATATTACCTCACAAAAAAAAAATCCTAAATGCAATGTGATGGGATAGATGAACAATGTGAACCATGTGTTATTCACATAATAAATGTTCTCCTTTTCTCCCCCAGTGTTGCCTACCCCTTCTCCATCCCTCACCCCTATTGATGTTGAAGATACACCCCTAGGTGGTAACATGGTTGTGGTGGCTGGCATCTCCATTTGCCTGGCTGTAATTCTGGCCACTGTTGTGGTGACTGTGTGGAGGAAGCTTTGCCAGACCCCTCAGTGCAGCTCTGTGCACACAGGCTCCATGCATTCCCCTGGGGGACGTAAGCTCTCTGATGAAGCTTCCATTTGTGGCCAGAGCCTTCAAGGACCCAGTCTGTCTGACAGCCATGGCCTTCTAGGGGGAATGAGTGTGAGTGTAGCCCAGAATGACAGGCCTTCCCTGGGCAGTCAGCCTCTGTCACAGACCCTGGTGATACCTCTCTCACAGGACCAAAAAAGTCTGTCTCCTGCAGGTCAGAAGATGTTGCCACCAATATTTGGGTATGTTTAGAACAGTGTTCAGTTTCGTCACACATAAAACATTATGGTCGAAGTTGTTCTGTCTCTCCCCAATTTTGGAAAATAAAATATCATTGTCTCTCAAGGTACCGGTTGGCTCAGCAGCAATTGAAAGAGATGAAGAAGAAGGGATTAAAGGAGGCCACACAGCTGTACCATGTCTCTTCAAGCCCTGTCCATGACACCCTGATAGAGACATCTGCTTCACCCACCAATTCCCCTATTCCTACACCAACTGGATATGCTCATGCCGCCCTACCATTGGGCATCCAGGATGAGACCAACCACAACGATTTTCATATCACAGCTCCCTTTTCTGAGCTGCCATCACAGACTTCTAGGGTCATGCCCGACAGACTGAGTCCCAGAGTGGAGCTGGTCTTAGGTCCTCCTGTCTCTGCTCATGCAAGTGAGGACATTTCAAAATGGCACGACCGCACTGCTGACTGGGTGGAGATGGTAGAAAGAAGTGGGTTAACAGGTCTCAGAGGAGGAGGAAGAGCAAATGCAGGAATAGGAAACTCATATCATAAGAATTCAAATTTCCGCCGGACCTCCAGTTTTACTGACACCAAACCCCAGCTTCTATCCTCTGCACAGTTCAGAGAGAGAAGCATGACCCAGGTAACATATCCCAGTTTTAATTATTATTTTTATTTAGCTATATTTGATGTATGTATTGTCAGTCATATTAGTGGAGTCTTGTGTCAAGATTAACAAAGATCATACACTGTCCTTTCCAGGTGGGATCTCGGACTCTTCCTGAAGGAAGTTGTTGGACCAAAGAAAGATGGCAGAGGCAGCCATACTGCTCTTACCCCATTCCAGAGTATGGGGCTTCAGACTGGACTAAGTCCAGACCCCAGAAAAATGACCAGAGGAAGCCCTGGATAGAGACAGCTGCTCCCTCTCACAACAGTGAACTCAGACACACAGGGACCAACACAAACAATACTTCTGCATCTGAAAAGCATGCTAAAGCAGAATTCAGTGGCACTTGGGAAAAGCAAAAGAGTGGTGAGCCTGGAGGTAAAGGTAGAGAGGGAATGTCAGGCATTGGGTGTCCAGCCACGGAGCCTGTCTATTCTCACAGAGCCAACCAGCTGAGTGTGGATCAAATGGAGCGGGCTGAGAAAAACTGGAACCGTCGTGGCCCATCGCCAATCCAGAGGAACATCCTAGCCCGGAAATTAAAGGAAGCTCAGTCCTGCTCTGGGGTCAAGGGCCGCCAGCGCAGCTCCACCTTTAGTGTATCATCCTCAGAGCAGAGGAAAGGTCGCTGCCGCTCTCTGCCAATGTCTGGAGACTACAGTAGCAGTGCTGGCTCTCCCTACAGGCTGAGTGAGGCAGAACAGAGGATGTTGGATGTAGATCTGTCCTCAACATATGCATCAGAGAAGGAGTAGATCACACAGATTTGAAGCACTATACCTGCCATTGCTGCAGTATTTACATTTATTCTATAACCCAAACCCAAACTTAAACCCCCTTTGGTATGTTCGCAACTTCAATCAATAACCACATAGCAGTAAAGACTGTATTGTGATGCTGCAGATTTATTATAGGTTTGCTAATCTGCGAGAGGGGAAGCAAATATAAGATGTAAAAATATTTTTCTAATGCATTTTTTCATTACAATTGTTTTATTTCAATTTTTTGATAGGCATTAGTGTCAATGAACATATTTTTTGTCTAGCTCACATCCATTCCATTTTCATTTTTCTCCACTTATCCAAGATTGGGTTGCAGTGGCAACAGGTTCAGTAAGGTAGTCCAGACTTTCTTCTCCCCGGCAATGTTTTCCAGCTCCTCTGGCAGGATTCTGAGGCGTTCCCAGGCCAGATGAAATATATCTACCTCGGGGTCTACTACCAGTTAAATGTGCACAGAAAACCTCCAAAGCAAGGTACCCTGGAGGCGTCCTGATAAGATGCCCGAACCACCTTAACTGGCTTCTTTGGATGTGAAGGAGCAGTGGTTCTTCTCTGAGCCCCTCCTGGATGTCTGAGCTCCACACCCTATCTCTAAAGCTAAGTCCAGCCACCCTATCTCTAAAGCTAAGTCCCACCACCCTGTGAAGGAAACTCATTTTGGCCATTTCTTTTCGTGATCTTATTCTTTCAGTCACTACCAAGAGATTGTGACCATGGGTGAGAGTTTGAGCATAAACTGACTGATAAATTGAGAGCTTTCAGCTCAGCTCCTTCTTCACCACAGTACAGCGCCCGCATCCCTGCTGAGGCTGCCCCTATCCGGCTGTCACTCTCATGCTCAGTGTTTACCCTCACTCATGAACAAGACCACAAGAGATTTAAACTCCTTCACTTGGAGCAGCAAGTCACTCCCAACCCTGAGGGAGCAGTCCACTGTCTTCTGGCAGAGCAAATGTGTCCACTGGTAAATACAGGAACTTAAGCCAGGCATTATGCTGAGATGCTATTTTTTTTAATTGTTTGAGTAATATCATACACTTTATAGAAAGTAATTCTAACTGGAAAATAGAAGATATTATACTATGGATATTTCACAATAGATTCAAATAATAAAGCAAAGCAATTCAAATATAAAGAATTTAAACATGACAGTCAGTCTCTTTAGCTTCATTCTGTGTCTTTAAGTTTTTTTATATTTCCCCTGCTCCGCTGCCCATAGCATCCAAGAAAAGCAGAGGCCGCACTTTCATAGTGGTGTGTCTAAGGGAATACCAAAGACCTTTCCAGGTCCCCCACACCACACCATTGTCATACTGGCCCTTGTACATCCCTGTGCGGTAGAACTTCCCATTCAGGTTGGCTGCATGACATCTGTGAATAAAAAATAAGTTACAGATCACAATGTTGAAGGTGGAACAATAACAGTAGCCTTTTTTTTTTACAATAAAATGGAAAACTTAGGCCCTTAATTTGACCAGTATGGTTGTAAGCAGGCAAAATAAAACAATTAAACTTGTAATGTTTGTGCAACAACCAGAGTGAGGATTACAAACAGAGCATTATTAATGCCCACTTGAATTAAAGCTACAGTATGTAACTTTTTCAAATATTTTTGTTGTAGAAATCTGCTCCAAAACCTATCCTGATGTGGAGAGGTGCTGTTGAAGCCTCCTGTGACCCAGACTCACTGAACAGCTCTGGCAGCAGTGCAGAGATATTAGCTTCTAAAAGGTTTTTAGCAGGATTGAGCTCTCTAACCAATCAGAGATTTTCAATAATTTCTCCTTGATCAGCAAGTTTTGTTGCATTCTTATTTACTGTAATTTTGTAACGACAAATATCTGAAGAGCCAGGCAAAGCAGATCGCTGTAGAGCAGAGTGGAGCCAAGAGAGGGAGTGCTGGGTGGAGCAGAGTTTCATGCTAGTGCTACCTTAAGTTACATACTATAACTTTAATTTGAAAGGTCTCACCTGTTGAACCACCATCCTGCCTTATTCTCCTGAGCACAGCTACCCTGACGGTAGCGATCATTGTCCTGTCAATCACCACCATGAGTGTTACCACAGTCATCATCTGCATATTATCTTTAATATCACAACAAACAGCACTGAAATGGTAAAGGTGAGAGCTGACTGACCTGATCTCTGGTGCTGAACTGCATGCCACTGAGGCAGGCAGACCACTGCTCCACCACCCCCCCACCACCAGTTAGAGCATCGCCAGCTTTCCCACTGTACATCCCATACTGGAGACGATAATTATCCTGAAACGGGCATTAAAGCAAATAGTGTTTTTTGGAATTGCGCTAACAGCTGAGACCAAGAAACAGTATAGTAACATTGTTTTTCTTACAGCTTCATCAGTGATACGGAAGTTCTCATAAAATGCATGACTTCTCTGTCCATCCCAGGCCATTAGATCTATCTTCACAAGGTTCTTACCTTTAGAACAAAGAAATACAAACAAAAATTAAAAAAACAACCAGCCAATCAGGCAGAAGATAAGACTATTTTAAAATAAGACCAGGAATTTATATTGCATTGGATGTTTGGTTTTATTGTTTCATTTCTGGGATTTTAATAATTGTTGACCTTCTGAGAGCAGAGAGTAAATGTGCTCATTCCCCAACCAAAACTCATCATTCCACAGTTTAAAGTCTCCAAAGCCATCTCTGTAGTCCACCCAGTCTCTAAAATGAGAATTAAGTAGACATTTAACAACATCATTTTTACAGCACTTTTTATTTGGGCTACATTCTCAGGCTAAATACCTGTTGAAGTCAACTCTCCCATACCGGCGTCTCTGAAACACTGTCCAGCCACCTCCATCCTCCATGTCACAGTAGACCAAAAATGGCTCCTGGTGTAGTTTGGGTCTGATACGGTAGAAACCACTTGGTGGTCTCAGTCTGTCAAATAACTCAGAACAGTCTAGAAAGATAACAATAAAAGGTCTTAAAGATTTCTAGTATTGTTAACTTTTAATATACTGTACTTCATGTTGCATAATTGAGATTTAACATTTAGAGCTTTTGTTGTTGTTGTTTTTACCTTTGTCATGGACAATTAAACTGCCTGCTGGTGGAAGTGGTTTCATCACAGTCATACCAGACTTGTCTGATGTTCCACTGCTGTTGTGGTTTACACCAGACGTTGTGTCAGTTTCAGTTTTAGTGTTAGGCACAGCAGGTGGAAATGGCCGGAAATATTTGTGCGTCTGCAAGTGCTCAGTCAGCCAAGTCCTAATCAAGAGTTTGTTCTGCAGTTTCCTTATGCTGCGCTTGATATCTGCAACCTCTGACCCACATGAGTCCATTGCCTTAAATGAGGAAAAACAGTCTGAAGTTATACACGGTAATATATATATATTTTTTAAATAATACTAGTATCCAGGAAGGGGCCAACAAAAGAACAGATCCCTGCAGGGATCTATAAAATAGTTTATTCTAGGAATGACAGTTTTTTTAGCAGTTAACACTGTAATTAATACCTTTGACTGTTACATTCTCAATTTTCAATGTCAACATAAAAACAAAGAGAGAAATAAGTCTAATAATAGAATAGAATAGGATAATTCACATACTGACAACTCTGTCAAAGAGGCCATAGGGTACACCAGAGCCAATAACAGCCACACTGGCATGACGCGCCTTGCTGTAATATAAGTCTGAAATTATAAGTACAATAAAAGTTGAAAGAATAAACAGATAGATACCATGAAGGTGCAATTATTCAAACCAAAATCTCAGCACTACAAGCCTACCTTCATTTCATAGCGCTTCCACTTGTTTTCTCCAGGTTCGGTGTTCTTTTCTTCTAAAATTTGTCAGCATTATTTATAGGCTGGGCTGTGCCAGTTCTGCATGGTCCACATTATGGGATCCAGACTCAACCAGCCTCGCCAGGCACTGAACTCAAGCCAGTTTGTCATTTTTATTCTCAATCAGGCATTTGAGTGTTCAGAAAGCGTAGCTGATCCCAGACCTGCAAATGGCCTCATGGACAGAGAGTATTGAGAGGACTTCATTCCTTACATACCAGTACTATTAACCAACTTTTTTCGTTTATGGTGAGAAAACACTTCTCACCAATCTGCACCAAAGAGACAGCAGGTAGACAAAGCCAGTGAGGCAGGTTATCAGATTACTCTGTTAGGCACTAAAATTCTTGACAATTTGCATAAATTGTCTTACGTGTGTTTTATCTAACTTACAGTCAAAAGACTGAAACATAGCTATTGAATGATATGCAATGATATAGAACAGAGAAAAGCAGCAAATTTTGAATTTGGGAGAAGTCAGTGTGGGGGAGAATGGCTCTCTCCTGTGTTTTTTATTGATCATTGCTATTGGCAATAAATGTTTCCAAAAATGCATTATAACAATTTATATATATGCCTGTCTTGCCTCTGTTTCTAGTGTTTAACCTTGTTCTTCCATTTTAATTATCATGTATTCCTTAGATATTTTTTCCCTAGATTTTGAGCAAATTTGGACCTTTTCCAAGGTATCATACTGCAGATGAAAAAACCAGCTGAAAACCATCATTTCAACAAATAAAATTACCATTACATATCCATTTTGAAAAAGCAAACCTTCAACACTGTTCATTTTTATCATTTTGGCTGTGGATGTGTTACCAACCAGTAAAATGGAATTTGGGAAAGCACATTCAATTAAAACCAGATGTTAGAGAAAACAAGTTAGCAGTTTGGTGCCATTCTTCTAAAGCTAATACTAGATGAAGTAGCTCTGCACATGAAGCATGTGGTCACTTCTGGGGGGGGGGGTGCAAGTAGGCTGAGGAGAACAGATGAGTAAAGAGTGACGAGGTGGGGGCAGGACTGGGCGTCTTTTATAAAAACTGAAGTCCAGGAAGTTCAAAACCGCTACGTTTGCAAATACGATGAAGAATAGTGGATGGATGGAAAAACTGTCCCCGGTTAACCTTTGAACAGTCTTCCTTTGTGTTCACAACGAGTCACAAGACAAAGTGTCGTATAATTTCACGAATGACAGACCTAACGGTGAGCAGGCTGTGGAGGGTTAGATACTGTTAGATACTGTAGTTTTTTGTAGTAATTCGGTGTCAACGCTTGAGGTAAGGAGAGGAAAGGACTGTGGGGAAGGTGTTTGGCCCAGATGAGCTGTTTGGTTTGAATTGTTTCGCTGCTCCTTTAGTTTTCATAGAGGTAATAACCAATCCTGGGTTTTGCATTAGCGGCTAATTGGAAAGCACCAACTCGTGATACTGCGTCGGAGCAAGTTAACATTAATGGTAAACAGTTGAATTTATTACTTGTAAACAGTGACAGGATTTATGTGGGCCACTGACAGAGATGCAGTGTTTTAGGACAGGGCACTGCTTTTGTCCTGTTGTCTTCCCTGATTTGTTTTTAACAATGTAACCGTGCAGCAACATGCGTTACAGGGAACGATGGGACCATAATCTTGTGTTTGTATGCAAATCCAGAGTTTACACTTTCAGAAGAAAACGAGAAATCATGTCCTCTGTCTATTTCAGTCCAGGATCTGACTCAGGTGTAAATGGGTGAGTAAAATAATTTAGATATGGGAGGATTAACATTTATTCTGTCCATGGATTTTTATGTAAATGTTTACAGAAACTATTTAATATTTGTAGCTGTCAGTTTGTATGCAAATGTACTCTGGTTGTTTTGCAAGGTAGTGTACTGTAGGCTGTAGGTTTTGCTTACATATTATTGTATGTTTTCTGCCCGTCTTTTAGAAATATAGCCAAGATGGAGGATGCTCAAGTGAAGATAGATGATGGAAAGAGGGAGAGTGTGGAAGCAGACACAATGCATCAGTACGTTCATACAGCTTTGCTTTACATCCCTTTATTGAGAACCCCACTGTGTACTGAGAACCCTTGTCCTCCCTTGTAGCAATATTCGGAGGAAGATTGCACCTTTTGTGATGTCCTTTGGATTTCGGTGAGTGTCTTTGCTGAACTCTTTTGGAGAGATCTTGGGTGGTCTAGAGGGATATTTGCTAATGATGTTTCTTTGATTTCCTGTGGTGTTTGATGATGATGGTGGTTCTCTCTGTCTTTTTCCCCAGTGTATTTGGAGTGATACTGATCCTAGTGGACATTGTGCTGGTTATTGTGGACCTGTCCCTAAATACCAAGAGCAAGGGGGTCGGAGATGCCATAGAGGCCGTGTCCCTCGCCATCTCCTTCTTCTTTCTAATTGACGTTCTGCTGCGCGTCTATGTGGAAGGGTGAGTGAGGCCTTGCATGCAGGTGTGTACTAATATACCAACTTGTTTTTTTACTGTGCTTATGATAGTCAACACCACCAGTCTTTGAGTTTTCGACACTGAAGGCAGATGCAGTGTCAGCACCCATGCATCCCTTCAAGAGGGTTAACTCATGTCCCTGAAATAGACTGTAATATTTTGTAAATTTTATATTCAACAGTAGCTGTCAGTTATCACAACTAGCTTGTGGTGTGAGAACAAGAAATGTTTACGAGTGATGCAAACATTTCTAGAGTATCGTGTCAGCAGAAACCAAGTGTGATTAGCTGTTAAACAGGAAGTTATGAAGAGGAAGCTGGACAGGAAATGTATGGCATGTATTGGATGGAGTCTTGGGAAATGTAATGACTCAGAGTGCTATCACAGTGTCACAGAATAAGTCCAGTCCATCATCTAAGCAGCCAGTTGGTACTATTAATTGTGTGACCTGGGCAGTTTTTCCCAGTAACATGTTAATTGTCTCATGCTGTGTTTACCTTCTCTTGGGGACCTTTTAGATTCAAAGTGTACTTCAGCTCCAAGCTGAACATCGCAGACGCCTGTGTTGTAGTACTCACACTGGTGGTTACCATAATCTACACCGCCACTGACCTGTCAGGAGCCAGTCTCATCCCCAGGTACCTGTTTTTCCCCCTGCGTTCCCAGGGGACAGACATTTACTAGACATCTCAAACAACTGTGTTAGGCATTGATAAGTACATGGAAGCTCTGTGGGGTTTGGAGTGAGATTTGAATTATGGTTAAATAGGTTTAGCTCCGAGCACCTGATCCCCAAATTGATATTCTGCTGATTTTAAAGTCCCTGTGCAGTGGCTGATTAGACCTCTTCTCAAGACTGTATACTAACCTAACTGACACACTCCTGTTTGGGTGGAACAGTTTACACCTCTGTCAGAATTAGCTTAGTAAATAGAGTAGGCTAGCCCCAACGAGCTTCCACCTGACCATAGGTCCAATCAGCCAGGCTACGTAAAAACACCTGCATAGCCATGTAAAGCCCTTAAGACAATTAGTTAATTAAAAACCCGGTGTGGCTCAGCCTAGATGAAGCATCCTGCTGTAGTACTCCAAATTTTTTAAACTCATACAAGACTTTTTCTTTCTTTTCTTTACTGTAAATGTATCTGTAAAAGGGTCTAAGCACCAGTATCTAAAAATACCAGTCAGGAATGTAATGCTGGTTTCAACCATATTGCCCAACATTTAGTGTCACATTACAGCGCCATTTACCATGTTATTGTTTTATTATTTTTTTAGAAATACCTTATAATAATGTTGACTTGTTTGAATACATTGTACTCATCACCACTAAAATGCTAATGTTTGAATGATTCAGAGGTTGTTTTTTTTTTCCCCCATTCATTCTTCATCAGGGTGGTGACATTTCTGCGTTTCCTGAGAATAATAATCCTGGTGAGGGTTTTGAGACTGGCAACTCAAAAGAAAGAGCTGGAGAAGGTCACCAGGAGGATGGTAAGTTCATTGCCATCGAAATGTAAAAAAACTGAATACCTGAAAGTCCATTTGATCTCTGGCTTGTTGTGTTTCTCAGGTTTCAGAGAACAAGCGACGTTACCAGAAGGATGGATTTGACCTTGACCTTACTTATGTCACAGGTAGGTACATGCTGTATAAAACACTACACATCCATGTCAGAAAATAGAATTTATTAAGGCCATCAGTTCATTAAATTGCGCCTTTTAAGAAGTGGAACATTTGTTTACACTTCTCTAGATCGTGTCATCGCCATGTCTTTCCCCTCCTCTGGAAAGCAGTCCTTCTACAGGAATCCAATTAGGGTAGGTCTGACTGGCCTTAACTCGTTAAGTCTAGCTCAGCGTGTATGAGTTCACCTCCTGCACTTTTTAGATATACTGTAATTACATGCACAAATAACAAAAAAGGGACTTCCCTTGATAAGTACACACACCTCCACAGGTGCTCTAAGCTGTTCTTCTCTCCATCTGTGCAGGAGGTGGCAAGATTCTTGGACACTAAACATGAAGGCCACTATAAAGTTTATAATCTGTGCAGTAAGTTGGCCCCACCATCTTGTACTGTTTTGCTTTTTATGTAGAGCTACACAAACCATGGGTCAATATCATCTTTTTGTTTCCAGGTGAGAAAGGTTATGACCCCCAGTTCTTCCACTACAGAGTTGAACGGGTGTTCATTGATGACCACAACGTCCCCTCTTTGGAGTGAGTGACATTTTCTGTTGTGACATGTCATAATTATTATCAAAGTACTTTAGATTACACATCATTTTGGAAGTGTGCTATTGATACAACCATGAAGAACATCCTCCAAACATTTCTGTTATGAACACATATAGAAACAGGATGTATCACAACCTACAATAACATGTGTACGCGAGTCCCAATGTCTTTTTCATTGCGTCTCAGGGACATGCTGAAATACACAGCAAGTGTGAGGGATTGGATGTCTGCTGATCCCAGAAATGTCATTGCTATTCACTGTAAAGGAGGGAAAGGTGACACTACAGAATCTACTTGTTTCATTATAATTTAGAGAACTATTTGAGTCTAACAAAGACTATTTTGGTGTATTATTGCTCACTTGCAGTTTATTTCACTGATAGCTAAAAGTAATGTGTTTTGATGATGATGATGCTATGCTCTTTCATAGGACGCACAGGTACTATGGTGTGTACCTGGCTTATTGACAGTGACCAGTTTGAGAGTGCGCAGGTGCGTCTCTGTAAGGTTGAAATTTGTTCAAACAAGGGTTGATGGATTAGTAACTGCAGACTGCTTCCTTACATTAATTTCTGTTTTTCCACCAGGACAGTCTGGATTATTTTGGTGAAAGGAGGACAGACAAGAGTCAGAGCTCCAAGTTTCAGGGAGTGGAGACTCCCTCTCAGGTCAGAACAGGCTACTCGGAGACAAAACTTACAAAGACATTTTTTAAAAGAAGCATTTATCGAGAAATGTAAGGGCTGCACTGAAAGCCTCTGTGTGTGGAATTGAATACTTCTGACTGGCGCCTCACTGTGGAAGTATCAAAAAATATACGGGTAGACAGAAGGGGTGAAAGCAAAACATATGGTAGATCCCAGTTCCTTTATTTAATCATTCCTCTGTCCTCAATTCTCACTCAACCAAGAGGCTGTTCCAGTTGAGTGAGGATTGAGGACATCCCAGAGCTCTTATTCCTGCTCCTAGGAGCAAGGAGGCTGCTGGAGGAGCCATGGCCGAGGATGCACCAGTCTTTTGTGGACTGACACGCCCCTTTATCAAAATTAGTTGGTGATTGGATGCTTCAGATGAAGGATCGGAGGAAAAGACATCTCGTGTCTCTTCTTGCCTCACGTTTCCCTTGCATCTTTTCCTCGCATCCTACATGGGTGGGACTAAGATGTAAGGAAAAGTCACAAATTAGAGGAAGCATGGATGCAGTTAAGAGATTCACCTATTGAGAGGACTTTTTATTCTTTTTCTTATTTATGCCATCAGCATAACAGGATTGACACAAGTTAAAGTATTAAATAACACGGTGCCTGTGTCATTTTGTTTGCATTCTTTAAATTTTATTTTTTGCAATGAGTATGAGATTTACTAAACAGTGGGGTGAAAATATTTTAGCTCTGGTGTGTCTGTGTGAACCATAGAGCCGGTACGTGGGTTACTACGAGATAATGAAGACCACGTTCAACAGACAGCTGCCTCCACCTAAAGCCCTTAGGATCAAGAGCATCCACATCCATTCCATAGCAGGTAAACCAACCAGGCACCCCAGTATGTAACTTTGACCTTTTTATCTCTCTTTGTGCCTTTTGTTGATTTTGTTTGTTTTTTTTCCCCCTCCTCTTACCCAGGTGTGGGTAAAGGTGATGGCAGTGATCTGAAGGTGAAGATAATTGTGAAGAAAGAGCTGGTATTTCAGTGTGCATGTGCTAAACAGGAGAACTGCACAGTAGGTGACGCACACCTGGTCCATACACTCATCGGTTATAATGATTGATTTGTTGAATGGGTGATTATTGCATTAGCTTCTTTTTTTTTTTTTAAAGGTATTTTCTGATATGAGTGCTAATACAGCAGTGATCGGCCTCAAAAACGGGCCTGTGGTTGAAGGCGACGTGAAGGTCATGTTTGAATCGAGTGCTGTGAGTTATTGCCCTCTACATCTTCAAACTGCACATGTAAGGCAAGCTCACGTTCAGCTTGGTCATCCCATGATTCCTTCTGTTCTCCATCCTCATTCTCATTAGGGTCTTCCCAAGGGATACGAAGATGTTCCATTCTACTTCTGGTTCAATACCTCCTTCACAATGGATAACAAGTATGTTACAGTCACTCCGATGCATTTATTACTGTAGCTCTTGACTCAAAACATCTTAAGTTTCCAACTGTAAACTCTGCATTCCCACAAAATTCTCCACAGGCTCTTTCTACCCAGGGAGGAACTGGACAACCCACACAAACCTAAGACTTGGGACCTGTACAAGGAGGACTTTGGTGTCACAGTTTTCTTCTCTGAACCATAAAACAAACCTGCAAACAATGGCTAGTTACAGCTGTGCATTTAATGTTGGATGCTGAGTAGAAATTGGTAGAATGAGAAATTTAGAGCTCAGTAATAAAATTGAAAAGAAACAATTACTTATGATTTATGTTATGAGCTAGAGAGCACTGGGTCTTCCGCTGAGACAAATCATGTCAGTAGTGAGTGGTTGATCGGGGGAGTGAATCACAGCAGTGTATGCCGTGATGCATCAGTGGAAACCACAGAACAGTTTACCAGAACACAGGATGACAGACTTGATTTGATTTGGATTTGATTTATTCTTTCTAGCATGTAAAGACAGTTGATATGTCAACACACATAATTTTACACATATCCAACAAATGCTAATCCAATATCAATTTACTTATACCTAGTACATGCTTGAATGGAGTAGGAAGAAGTCAGACTTATCCAGTCCTACCCCATGACATCATCTTACCATCATTGGTTTGCAAGCAGTATCTCTACATAAATAATTCTCTTCTACACCACACAAGTAATATACTAAAGAATTAT